GGACAACTCTTTTGATAATTATTTTTGACTCCTCTGTCAGAAATCTTGCGAAGAACACCTTTTCCTGGTTGGTTTATGGGGGTATGATGTTTTTTCCCAATCAGGATTATGGCCCCAACAGTGCTCACTAGAACAAGTAGAAGTTTAGAAATCCTTCTGCAACCAATGCCATCATTATTAGCATCAATAAGGTTGCGGAGGTCTTGAGAAAGCTCTATACTTTTACCAATTATGAGATGTTTCTTGTGTGATACCAGAGACACCTTTTTATAAGCCATCATGTGGGACTGAACCAGCCGATATTAATTTGTACCGACAAGGAACAGGATTGCTTTCTAATTACTGAGAGATTTCGGCTGTTGTCTTGGCTTTCGTTGCCTTTTTGCACCTCTCTTTCTTCACGTGTTTTACACTTTTTCCCTGTGCCATTCCACATTATTACACATACATCTCTCGACATTTATGGTTTGATTTCTTTGTACAACCCCAGGCAAAAATTATGGAATCACCTGCCTCAGAGGATGTTCATTCAGTTGTTTAATTTTGTAGAGAAAAACATTATAGATCCCCCAGTAAATTTCCATTCCCAAAACTAACACCTGTGTCAAATTAAACCTGCTTGCAGTGGAAACACCATGGAGAGATGCTGCACCAAGTGGACTGACATGAATCATGGCTCCAACAGTAGAGATGTCAATTGAAACAAAATGAGAGAATTATCAAACTCTTAAGAGGGTAAAATCATCACTCAATGTTGAAAATGATGTTGGTTGTTCACAGTCAGCTGTGTCTAAAATATGGAGCAAAAACAAACGACATGGGAAGTTATTAAAGGCAAACATACTGGTAGACCAAGGAAGTCATCAAAGCATAAATGCTCAACAAAAGAAATGAGGATCGAATGGGAGAAAACTGGAGTCGACATCTGTGACCGAGCTGTAAGAACACAATAAAGTTAAACAAAAGCCATCATTAACACCTAAACAGGAAAAAAAAAACAAGGTTACAATGGGCTAAGTAAAAATAATTGTCAACTGGATGAAAGTCATATTCAATGATAAATCTCGAATCTGCATTGGGCAAGGTGATGATGCTGGAACTTCTGACTGGTGTCATTCCAATGAGCCTTGTAAAGATGACTGCCTGAAGAGGACATGCAGATTTCCACAGTCATTAATGATATGGGACTGCATGTCAAGTAAAGGTACATAAGGGTCAATGTCACGGCCTGCAAATAGTTAGGAATTTAATCCAATTGAAAATCATTGGCTGGTCCATGACAAGGCTCCAACCTGCAAAGCCGATCTGGCAACAGCAATGGGAGAAAGCTGGAGTCCATGCCTCAGAGACTGCAAGCTGCCATAAAAGCCAGAGGTGGTGCAACAAAATACTAGTGATGTTTTGGAGCGTTCTTTTCTTTTTCATGATTCCCAAATATTTTCTTTTTGTTGTGTATTTTTGTAACGGGGATAAATAGGATCATACAAAATTGGTTTGTATGAACTATGTTTGTTCTCTACTTCCAAACCGCATCTCTTCATACATGCCTACCATAAGTTTGTTTTGAAATTCTGAGATGCTGTAGATCTGGGAAGTTTTGACTGGATTTGACTAAAATTTTAAGCCTTTCGATATTAAATAAATATTGTATTTGAAATGAGAAATCTGCTTCCTGGTATGTTGAAGTACAAATAGTATGCATCCAATCATTTAATTAAGCGGTCTTAGTTTTGGGGAATATATAAGAATGATGCTTTAATTTTTAGATACTGATCTATCATTATTATCTTTTAATTTGACAAACTGTATCTTCTCGACGTTCTTTTTCCTGCTTTGTGCAATTGCAATTGCAGATCTTGACCTGACTGGAGCTGAGCAAAAAATAGGTTGGCTCCGTATTTTGACGGTGAATGACGGAGAACACATACGTGGACGGTGACATGCAGAGAAGCAGCGGTGGATGTGGAACAGTTCTAATTGATTTATATGACAGACAGTTACGCCACACGATGTACGTGAGCGGGGCGAGCAGAGACAGATGTGGATTCTGGGGGTTTAAGCCAGACTGTTGCCATTTGACAGGACATTAGTTTTGTATCATGTCTGATCTTCTGAATCTAACTGAATTAACATCCTCTGAGGCCCAGTGATTCCATAATTTTTGCCAGGGGTTTTATGTGTGATTTGCATGGATTGTTACCGACATATGGTGAAAATGTCATGTCAAAAGCACCTCTAGAAATATAGTTACTGAGAAAAATTTTGGTTTGTTCAATACTTTTTTTATCCTTTATATGTGCTCTTGTTTTTTTTATTTCGTTTACAAGAGGAAAAAGAACACCAAACATTTTAGTTTTTTTATCTTCCTGTCACTGAGGAGAGGTAGACAGGAGCTGGTACTGTGGAGCTGTGTCCCGGCTTGGGAAAAAAACACTAACACAGTAGAAAGAGCCGAAGTAGAAAACAAACTGCAGCACAGATAAAGTCCAAAATGTACACAAGCATTTCCATTTCCAAGCTGTTTCTGATTCATCAACTCACGACTTTAAGTATGACCTGCTGTATTGTAGCCCTTTTTTTCCCCGACTTTAACACAAATTGGGCTCATGGGAAGGGGGGCCATCACAGCAGAGACTGGAGAGAGGTCCCTCTTTTACTTGAGCAACTTTTTTTTTTTTTTTTGCATATTTTATTTCTAATACCGTGTTTGAAAAATGTGTCTATTTCTAATGTAGTTATTATGATAATTATGATTGTTCATAATTTTCATTTTGGGCAAGGTCTAGCACTGAGAAAAACTATATTTCATATGAATAAACTTTATTGAGCTTATTGAAATCTTAATGCACAGTTATCAATTCTTCGTGTTTTTAAAGATCATTTATTTTATATACTAGATGTTTTTTAATTATATTTTTAATTTCCATATTAACACTATGAATCTTGAAGTTAATTAAAGTGGATTCATGCCACTATGAATTTGGCTCAAATAGATCTGATTTTGAAGAGGCTTTCGTTTAATTTTGTCTTTTTTTTTTTCTTATAAACTTTTATACAATAAAATGATTGTATAAATCAGTCGGATCATTCTGGGCTGCTATTTTTTCACAGGAGTTTGATTGCATTAATTCTCACCCAGACTTTGTTGGAATTGCATGTATAATTTTGGTCTTGTTTATATTAAAGGGTCCAGTTCTTCTTCAGGTTTCTGTATTTTTGAAGTTGGTCTGATATTTTCTTAAGCATCTCTTTGATAAGATACAATTTATGTTGGATTCTATACCTCAAACCATGACACTTGAACATCCTTGCTTTGGCTTGGCATTAAGTTTGTTTCCTAAAATGCTCAAAACCCAATTTTTGCTTTTTGTTTGTGAAAACTTGATTTCCATCCATTTTTGTTCATTATAGATTGTTTAAGAACAAAATTTATCTTGACCCAACGATTTTTAGCATGAACAAATGTTCAGTTTCATTTTTGCTTAAAGATAAAAAAAAACAACCTGATTTCATTTAGACATATTACGGTTTTATTTCAAGTTGCTCTTAATATGGACCATACAAGCTATCCACAGGCATAAACTTGTACAAACAGAGCAATGTGAGTTTTTTACTGCGGTCCTGTGTTACCCACCCACCGTGTTTTGGTTCCCCCTTAACTAGAAGATTTCCTCTTTCTGTAATCTCCTCTGCCTCCATGGAGCTGCCTGCAGGACATTTGAAAGGTGAATTGGAGGAAGAGTGCATGGCATGGTTGAGCCAGAGCCGGTCCTTGCTGTGCAGGCATTGTATTGATTGAAGTGTGACAGTGTCACACCTAGTCCTGTTTAGTGCAGGACAGAAATGCCACATCACTCTCTATAGTTATTGCTGTATCTCTTTGGAGCTAGGTGACTAATTGTTCTTTTGTTGTTTACATGTAGTAGTAATGTTAAAGTTTAAATATTTCTAGTTGACTTTTGCTTTGACTTCAAAACCTATAGAAAATTTTTGCCTGACATATGTTGTAAATGCTTTTAGTTGGGGATATAGACAAGAAACTTATATTTTATTAACTTAAGCTAACGTACATTATTCTACAGTTAACTTGAATTTGACAGTGACACATAATTAGTGACACATAAGCCATAACGACACCATCTCCACCCTCCATCTGCTCCAGACAGTGCCTCTGATGGACCTACCACTCAGTCCAACTGATGCTCCCTCTTCACTCCTAACTTTGGCTTGTTTATACTTTTAATAAGCAGGGTTTTTTTTATTGCTGTGACGTCTTTTCTCTGAACTGATCAGTCTTGTGTCAATGTATAAATCAAGCTGTTTGAGTTTTTTTTTTCTCCAGTCTGAGAATTGTGCACATTCACTGCTAAGAAGAAATAAATTGCCATCTGTCATTTTCTTATATTTCTTTCAAAAGAGTCAGAATGTCTTGTAATTTCTTTAAAAGCTATTTAGCAATAGTTTCTAAGCATCCCAGAAGGTCTTTCAAAGCTTTCTTTGGACATAAACTTTTTCTGAATAACAAGTCTCAGGAGGACAATGCATGTTTCTTTTGCTGTTTGTTGGACTCCTACCAATAGTTCTTTGTGGATTTAAGCATATCTTGGGTACTTTAACTTGAAGGATGAAATATTGTTATGTCATCATATAACAGGTAGTTAATTAGATTTGGATCTTTGGCCACTGTGCATGCAGCCAGTTTGTTTGACTATCATTAGTTGAAGCTATATCCTTTTAACGTATGTCAAAACTTTTGAAACTTTCCTTTTTGATGTGGTCAGCCTCTGTAGCAGGGAAACCACTCAGCTTGGTATGTCTTATTAAAGTTGCTGGAAATCAAAGAGGATTTCTGTACACTTGTATCCAGGGTCCAATATTAACACTCGCCAAATGCATTTTCTTTTTGTCGGTTAATAGCAGAGCATCATTCGCCACAAGGCGACTAAATGTTTTCACCACAGTCTCTTACCAAATTTACCTGTTTGACTTTCTTTTTTTAGGAGCATTTCCTGCCTCCATTGTCCATGCAAGAAAAGACCGTCTTCATCGTCCTGCACACATTGCCACTAAAACATTCCAGGCACTGCGCATCTTTGTGAACGATGAGTTGAAGGAACTGCACACAGGGCTGTGCGCAGCGAGGTCGGCACTAAAACCTGGAGGACGGCTCTGCGTGATCACGTTTCATTCGTTGGAGGACAGACTGGTCAAACACTTCCTGCAGGATCGTGATTTATCTCATTTGGAGCAATGCCACTTCATTGACAACAAGAGAAATGGTAGAAGGGAAAAACTGGTAGACAAGAACAGAGAATGTAATAAAAATGCCCACTGGTTTCCTGTACAAAGAAAAGTGGTCACTCCAGAAAAAGATGATGTAAGAGAGAATCCTCGTGGACGCTCTGCAAAACTCCGTGTAGTTCTACGGCGGTAGTTACAGCAGGGATTGTGTTTTATGGTTTCAATATTTTTTTTACAGTCAGAACCATACTGTACAAATATCTGAGTTTTGTTGCCCAATAAAGCAGTGAAATAGTTTGTCCTTGAAATGTGTTATGGCTTTTGGGCCTTTTGGTTAAAAATAATACAGGCTAATGGCCGTTTCAGACAGAACGCAGTTTGACCTGCGTTTGCTGTAGCATTCAGCATGGCACAGCACTGGCTCTTCAACACTGTATTGGCTGAGTTACTGGTCATTTGTGCTGTTTTTTTCTGCAGCACAAATGCATCTGTTCCATACTAAGAAGCAAGAACTAGCCTACTAATTAGGAGAAAAACAGCAGCATGGAAGAGGCTCTGCATGTATGGAAACCTCAAGTCCAGGGAGCAGCTTCGGGAGTTCTAGCTCATGAAAGAGCTCTATTACCAATAAGACACATACAATTCTAGCTTTTCCTCCATTTTACCTTCTAGTGTCTCACCTGACAAAATGCTTTCTCTTGACTGCAGAAGCTCAGTATAGTTAAATACGTGTATCCTCTCTCAAAGGGCTGTAGCCCAATTACATCTGTATTTTACCCTCAAGTTACAGTTAATGCCAGGAAAATTGTTTCATCTTTTTAACCTTCATTCAACCTTCAATTAAATAAATAAATTGATTAAAAAAAACACCAGGCCTTTTAACGTATTTCACTATCAGTACACTGGTTTTATAATCCCTATTTGACTTAAACATTCTTTTGCCTTAAATAACAATTTACATCCATGGATGTTTTAAAGTGGGTATTGTATAGGCATTGTGTTGACCATTTGATGTGCATTTGTTGCAATATTCCTGCTATTTTTGCCACCTTCATGTTAAACAGGTGGCTGTTTTTGAATTGGTATTGTTGTCTACCATTGTGACATCACTGAGTAACTGATGTGAGTAGCTCTGCTGCTATGAGGTATAATGCTATGTTCAGACTGCATGCGCTGGAAGCAGCAAAAAAGCACCTGTTGCCTTATTTTTGATGCTTGTAAACATTAATGTCTGATGCAACTCAAGTGCATCTTTTACGCTCCTGAAGCGCATCAAGAAAAGTGTGTTCAGATACGTCTAATGCTTCTGCTGCTCCTGTGTTCAATGGCAGAAAGCGGGTTTGCTATATTTGCGGTGATAAGTGGGTAAAAAGTAGTTTTGATATGTTTTTAAGTGAGAAAGTCCACCTCAAAACATCATCTGTGCATCAGTTAATCAAGATTACAATCCTGCCTTCAAATATTATTTCATTGTCAGACCAGAACGAAAACCATGTAAACTGGTGGTATGCTTTCACTGGAAACCCTTTTAACGGCAGACCTGTGGTCTGCCTCTTGGGGGTCATAAGCTAAGGTTTGTGGTGCCTGGAAAGGGACGGTTTTCGGTTTTCATGTACGTAATCCAAATGGTAAGCACCAGAATAATATAATCAAATATATTTTGCTGGCAGGTTTCGACATTTTAAGTTAATTCAGGCATTAAACTGTTTCAGGGGGGTGATCATTGCGATCTGCATCAGCAGCGCTGTGTGAGTCTCCCTGCTGCTCCCAGATCAGCTTCTCTGATTCGTTGATGTGGCACGTCATGCAGCAAAAGCTCAATTTTTCCATCTCCAGCATCTGGTTTTGAAGCGTGTGACGTGCTCATGAGGCGCTGCTTTTATGCATCGAGATGCTCTGCTCCTGCTGCTCTAGACGTGCTAACGGACCTTTTGATGCACATTGATGTGCATCAACCATTGACTCTGCATGTAAACCAGCTGCTTCTGGTGTATCAGCAGCGTGCGGTCTGAACGTAGTGTAAAAGTTGCTTCACCTCATGCCTTTTTTGTTCATTGGAGTGTCTCTTTCCCCCATTCTCTCTGTGTCTGTTGAAGATGCTTGACAGGAATCATCCACCTAGACCAGGCATGCCCAAAGTCGGTCCTCGAGGGCCGCAGTCCTGCAGATTTTAGAGGTTTCCCTGCTTCAGCACAGCTGATTTACATTGCCTGACCTAGACCATGCCCAACTCTTAACACCTCCCTGCACAACCGCCAGACATCACCTCTGAAAGGTACAGGTGCACTATGCTTCCTGGTCCAGGCAAAGATTCCACAGAGGAGTAACCAGCTTCCAAAATCAGGAGCTGATCCCTCTCATTCCTGGGTGAAGAACAGACCACCCAAGCGACTATCTGAGGGCAGATGGTAGACGGCCCCTGTTCTCGACCTGTGGCTCACCACAGACCTGTATGGACAATCGGGATGAACCAGCCAACCAAATTTCAATTTCTTTTTTTTTCGCCAACCAGAAATAAAAGCTGCTTAATAGAAGCAAAGAAGAATCCCCCTTAGAGTGGAAATGGTTAGCTTTTTTTGAATGGTTTTATTTATGGCCAATTTATCAAATAAAATGATTATGCCTTTAATGAAAATAACTTCATTTAATTAATCTGGGCTACCTTTTACTGTAAGTTTGTTTGCTTGTAACATAATGCCATAGTTAAATATTTTTTATATATGAGAGAATTTTTATTTCGGGCTGAGAAAAATAGGCTTGGCCGGTAAGTAATTTTCTCTCCCAGTCCACTTGGCCGGTGAGTCCATCCATCCATCCATCCATCCATCCATCCATCCATCCATCCATCCATCCATCCATCCATCCATCCATCCATCCATCCATCCATCCATCCATCCATCCATCCATCCATCCATCCATCCATCCATCCATCCATCCATCCATCCATCCATCCATCCATCCATCCATCCATCCATCCATCCATCCATCCATCCATCCATCCATCCATCCATCCATCCATCCATCCATCCATCCATCCATCCATCCATCCATCCATCCATCCATCCATCCATCCATCCATCCATCCATCCATCCATCCATCCATCCATTTGCTGTCATGCTTATTCCTGCTGGGGTCATGAGGGTTGCTGGTGCCTATCTCCAGCTGTCAATGGGTGAGAGGCCGGGCAGAACTGCGAGCAAAGTACCGCACCACAGGGTCCTCCCACACCAGCCAGATATCCATGCCCCGGCCAACCCAGCCAGCCAGCCAGTTGTCACAGGGTTTGTACATTATTCCACCCTCTTGACACACCATTTTTACCATCACATCTTACTTTTCTATTGTATAGCATTACCTTTTGTTTTCATATTAAAGTATTTAAAGGGATCTCCTCGCAAAGCATTATGGTATTTGCTGTCACAGCGGCCCACTGTTGCCGGAGCCTGTCGCTACCCGACAGTGGCGACTGATAACACCATGCAGTGGAGGAGGAGTTACGTGATCAACGGGGAGCAAAAAGCAGTGCTCATCTGTCCGAACGGTCATTTAGCTGAGTTCGCTATAAAGTCCACTATATAGTCTCCGCTCTATATAGTGATTGAGTTTTTACTTTAAGAGCTTGTACAAAGAGAAATGGGCTGCTGCATGCTCTCACACGCGTTTAATAGGCATTCCCTCTCAGGAGCAGGTACAGCAAGCATCCCCAAACTCGGTCCTCGAGGGCCGCTGTCCTGCAGGTTTTAGAGGTTTCCTTGCTACAGCACATCTGATTTTAATTGAAAGCTGATTAATTGGCTTCTGCTCTACTGCAATCATTATAATCAGCTGTGCTAAAGCAGGGAAACCTCTAAAACCTGCAGGATAGCGGCCCTCAAGGACCGAGTTTGGGGATGCCTAAGGTACAGGGTTGTGCATGTGCATTTCTCTTTTTAAGTGGAGAGGGCGGGTCTTTTTTTTCTAAATTGCGAAAATCCTCCACAATACCTTTGAGCATTTGTTTCTATTACTTATCAATCGATGACTTATGACTCATGTATCATATATCATGATGCACAAAAATGATCGTGAAAAAATCTCATTGTTTAAATACAATGTGATGCTGACTATGAGTCGTCATAACAGATTAAAACTTTAAGATGGCAACTGTATTGGTCAGTGCTCAGAAGCTTAACATGTAAAAGTAACATAAGTACTTTTTATTTCATTGACGTCTATATTTTCCCTGAATCTCCTTGATGAGTAGCCCAAGTACATCCTCTACTGCGCCATATGAATCAGTAATGCCACTGAATACTGAATGACGCAAGTGTCAGAGGTGGTGCTAAATGAGCTGGGTGGTTGTTCTTGAGCATTCTCTCACCTTCAGCTGTAAGCAGATGAGGTGTTTTGATCTTTACTATTTGACTTTGACTAATTGTAATTGCTTCAACAAGATTATTAACACTTTTCTTTCCTTCTTTCACCAGTTTGTGCTCTCTAAATATACCCATGTTGTTACCTTGGTAACTACGTGGTGCAAGTTATACTCAAGTGCATCTAAATTTATATGCTGTTGTTGAAGCTAATTTGAAAGAAAGGCGTATCCTGAGTTTTCTACGCCCCTTCCTGGTGACATCAGTGGGATGTAAAACTTGAGATACATAAAGAGATTAAGATTGTCTTTCTTTTATTTTAACTCTTCACAGAGGCCAAGTGTCTGAGGAGTATCAGAAGATGAACACATACGCTTTCGGTATCCATATTGGAATTGGATATCCAGCATTATGGCTACAACAAAGAAGACTTTATCCTCTCACAATTCTCAGTATAAGTGATTATCCTAAGTTTAACCCTCAGGTGATTAACACTGAGTTCATTGCATTATATATAAGTTATTACTGTGCATTCTTTGCAATAACCTACTCCTAAAGCAAGCACAGTGTGTAATGTCTAATTTTGGCTAAAGGAACAAAGGACTGAACTATGCGTTGGGGTCCAAGGCTTTATTTTCAGATAAAAGTAAATCTTAAAAGTCTGGGGCCAGAGTGAGCATTGATCCAGTCTGAATTTTCCAGATTAGGTTTTTTTTTTGGTGGTGGATCTGCTTGTATAGGGTCCTTTATTTTTGATAGGTCCATGAAGTATTGATAGGAAGAAGAAAGAGACACCAGATCCACCAATCCAGACCAGCTGAAGGATTCTATTACAACCTGTGGTTATCAGCCACAGACTAATAACCTCTATGCAACTTAATATTGATGCAGTAAATGGTGCAAAATAAGCCTCAACCAAGTAATGAATGCATGTAATGTACAATACATAAAAAAGCTTTTCCAATTTACTGATATATGATTTTTTTCATTTTGCAAAAGTGCATTTGGGGTCTTTTTAGCTTAGAAATCAGGCAATGTGCATCTTAAATAGATTACTCTATTTACATTCTTATGAGAATAAATTACAATTTCAAACATTTGATCTCACCTATATGCACCTTCTTCATTTATTTACTTATTTATTCATTCCACGCAGCATGACTTTCTTCTAGTTATATAAATGCTCTGAATTGCTAAAGCTCCAGACTTTCTAATGATATGTGTGCCATGTAAAATATGGCAGCAATTGATGCAGTGTGTGGACTAGGACCTCATAGCTGCCTTATCCTCCAGGTTTCTTGGGTCCCGGGCAGGGCCTGAAGTTAACTTTATAGGCCACCAGCCACTATGGTTTCTTTACCAGCCAAAATGTTGTCCTTTTACACAATATGCATTAGATTGCTTTCAGGTTATTGACCGGCCTAATCTCAAATGTCTCTAGAACTCATAATAATAATAATTGTATCTGACCTGGTTTGAATAGAACTTAGAATAGAAAATGATAG